GAAGAAGAAGAAGAAGAAGAAGAAGAAGAAGAAGAAGAAGAAGAAGACGACTCAGCAGCCTAGGAATATAAAGCTATCTGCTGTTTCACTAGAACCCCTGCTCAGATGTACCCATAGGCAGCTCAGTCTCCATGTGGGTTCCTAGTAAGGGGCCCAGGTACTGTCTCTGACATGGACTTTCCTGCCAGCTCTTTGATCACTTCCCCTTGATGGAGTGGCCTTGCCAGGCCATAGAGGAAGAGGATATAGCCTGTCCTGATGAGAGGCTGAGGTCTGATGGTAGGGGAGGAGGGCTCTTCCTTTCTGAGGACTAGGGGTAGGGGATAGGAAGGAAGAAGGAGGGAGGGCAGGACCTGGAGGAGAGGAGAGAGAAGGCTACAATAGGAATGCAAAGTGAATAATAATAAAAATAAAATTAAATAAACTATTTCCATATCTGGCCTTCAGTCAAGCACTGAGGGAAGCAGAGTTTGGAGGGCATGTCCAACATTAGGAGACACAGGCCTTCTCCAATGGCTAAATTTGGCCTAGAATCCCCTGGAGCCCTTGGTAAGTCTTCCTTAGACTGTCTTCTACTAGAATGTACTCACTCTCCTTCCTCTCCTCTCTGACTCTGGATCAGAGCTGCTTCAGAGTTAAAATCTGCCTTACCCAGCTTCCAATCAACTTCTCTCGCTAGGAAAATCCTACTAAAACCCTGTTCTGTGTAACCAGCTTGATACATCTCATGTGTCTGTGTTATAATTATAGCTATACTACAGGCTGGAGTGTATGGATCTTTGTAGTTTAAGCAGTTTTTTTGGTAGTAACACTTTATAAGGTGAACAGAGCACCGAGTGCCCCTGGGAAGGTGTGCTCTAAAACACAATCGCAAAGTTATGGTTCATGAGATTTTATGGAGCCTGCTAACATCATTAAAGACGCATTTAGTTTGGCAATGGCTCTTTTGCTCTAATCAGAACATTTTCAAAATTACCATTTCATAACTGAAAAGGATATATGATTTTCTTCATAAATCTCAGTTAACATTCAAGTTTCTCAGCTAAACAGAAAACTAGCAGGCATCACTGGAAGGCTGCCCAAAGATTTTTAGAACTTTTTCTGGAAACACAAACATAGTGAAGGCAACAGAAACAAGGCTCATTCTCAATTTCAATGAAGTTATTTATTAGCTCACATTCCTCTTCGTTCACAGAGCAGGAAGTTTTTTCACACACACTGATGATACTCAGTATTAACCCGAGGAATTGCTTGCTTTGGGGTATTTTTATTATCATAGTTTATGATAGTTCATTAATTAAAGAAGTCCAGGTAAAAATATATATCAGAATTAAAACTGAAGAAGAAGCATACATTCAGCTACTCTATTATTAAATATTTAGGTTACCTCCTCTAATTATTATTAATATAGTAAGATATTACAAATAATAATGAAATTTAAAGCAAAATATGATTTATTGAAAACAGTTGTTTTCTTATTCTGTAAAAATAATAAGAGTGTGACATAATTGTTTAATGTATACATTAAAATTGTTCATGTAAGTAATATGGGGGCTATCAAGTCTTGGCAAGAGCACAAGGTGACTGGAACTCTCTTCCCCTGTGGCTCTTGTCAACCTTCCCTAGTGTAGTTGTGATTCATTCATTCTTATTATGGTGCTTTATTTGTATGTGCTAATATTAATGGTAC